CGTCGTGTTCCCCTGAGCCACCTTTCCACGACTCCGTGAGGCATTCACGCCCCCCCCCTGGGCAAACCGGTACTGGAAAACATGCCCTCCCCCAGCCAAACGTGCCTTGGGAAACCCTGCGACGATCCACTACAAATCCGAAGCGTCCTCCCCAAAAAAGGCCCAGGAAGCTCCACGAGGGGTCCTCGGACGCCGCCGGTCCGTCGTCTGCTCGCGGGGCGCCCCATGATGGCGCCAGGACGGTCCAAAAAGCTCCCCTCCTCCTCTGCCTCCTCCTTTTCCTCCTTCTCCTCCGCCTCCTCCGCCTCCTCCTCCTCCTCCTCCTCCTCCTCCTCCTCCTCCTCCTCCTCATCATCATCATCATCATCATCATCCACCGCCGGAGGCAGGCAGCCGAGGACGCGAGCGGCCTCGTCCTCGTCCTCGTCCTCGTCCTCGTCGTCCTCCTCCTCCTCCTGCTCCTCCTCCTCCTCCTCCTCCTCCTCCTCCTCCTCCTCCCTCCTCCTCCTCCTGCTCCTCCTCCCTCCCCCTTCTCCTCCCCCTTCTCCTCCTCCTCCTCCTCCTCCTCCTCCTCCTCCTTCCTCCTCCTCCTCTTTCCTCTCCTCCTCCTCTGCTGTCTCCTCATCTCTCCTCCTCCTCCTCCTCCTCCTCCTCCTCCTCTTTCTTCTCCTCCTCCTCCTCTGCTGCTGCCTCCTCTTCCTCCCCTCCTCCTCCTCCTCCTCCTCTTTCTTTCTCCTCCTCCTCCCTCTGCTGCTTCTCCTCCTCCTCCTCCGCCTCCTCTCCTCCACCTCTTCCTCCTCCTCCTGCTCCTCCTCCTCCTCCTTCTCCTCCTCCTCCTCCCTCCTCCTCCTCTCCTCCTCCTCCTCCTCCTCTCCTCCTCCTCCCTTTCTCCTTCTCCTCCTCCTCCTCCGCCTCCTCCGCCTCCGCCTCCGCCTCCGCCTCCGTCTCCGCCTCCGCCTCCTCCCCCTCCTCCTCCCCCATCCCCCTTCTCCTTTTTCTACTTCTCCTCCTCCTCCTCCTCCTCCTCCTCCTCCTCTCTCGCCTCTCCTCTCCGCTCCTCGCCTCCTCCTCCTCGCCCTCCTCCTCCCCCTGCTCCCCGTCCTCCTCCTCATCCTCATCCCCCTTCTTCCTCGTCCTACTCCTCCTCCTCCTTCCCCTCCTTCTCCGCCCCCTCCTCCTGCTCCTTCCATTCCCCACTTCTTCCCTCGTCGGAGCCTGCGCACCGATCAACAAAGGCAGCCTTTCCTTTACAGAACAGTCTACCGGGTTAGTAAGGATGCGCGGTAAGGATGCAAGGGCCGTGGATGTCCATGTTGATTGGCTTCGACGGTGGAAACAACAAGAACGCAAGGCAACACATGAGGATGCAAGGATAATCGTGGATCATCCCTGGGCACATGCGATAAATAATCGGGCTCCAAGAAATATCGGGGCATGTTCGCGGTCGATTTTACACAGCCTGAAGAGTCCCAATGCATCCGTGCGGTCCTAGGGCCATCAGAAGGCAAGGACTCTCCGTGGAGCACCCGCTGGCAGGCTGGTTTTCGTCCTGGGGCCATCAGAAGGTAAGGACTCTCCGTGAGGCACCCGCTGGCAGGCTGGTTCTCTTACTTGGCGTGCCCCTTGTACTGAGCTGGTCCCACTGCTCTCCGGTCGAGGCACGTCCTCCTCGAGCAAATGGCTCTTGGGAACACGAGGTCTCAAAAACGGTCTCCTCCTCCTCCTCCCTCCTCCTCCCACCTCCTCCTCCTCCTCCTCCTCCTCCTCCTCCTCCTCCCCTTGCTCCCCTCCTCTTGCTCCTCCTCTACCTCCTCCTCCTCCTCCTCCTCCTCCTCCTCACCCTCGCTTCCATCTTCGTCGTCTTCAGGGTCGGCGGCGCCGGCCGTAAGGCCTTCGCAGTCCTGGACAGCATCCTCACGGCCACCGCGCGACCACAGGGGGCGCCAAACACAGGGAACGAAGGGGCCTTCCCGGCCACGGCGAGCCTCTGCCACGAGTAGGTCCTCCTCCTCCTCCTCCTCCTCCTCCTCCCTCCTCCCTCCTCCTCCCCTCCTCCTCCTCCAACTCTCAGGGGCAGCCTGAAGACCACAACCCCTCCCGAGCCCGAGAGCGACCCTCACATCGGCTCCACGCAGGAGTGTCCCTGGGCAGTGACCTTTGGTGCGCGCCCCTTGGGGACAACCCCTCCCGAGCCCGAGAGCGACCCTCACATCGGCTCCACGCAGGAGTGTCCCTGGGCAGTGACCTTTGGTGCGCGCCCCTTGGGGACAACCCCTCCCGAGCCCGAGAGCGACCCTCACATCGGCTCCACGCAGGAGTGTCCCTGGGCAGTGACCTTTGGTGCGCGCCCCTTGGGGACAACCCCTCCCGAGCCCGAGAGCGACCCTCACATCGGCTCCACGCAGGAGTGTCCCTGGGCAGTGAGTGACCTTTGGTGCGCGCCCCCTGGGGGGGCGCGAGGGGTCCACATCCAAGCGCGCCGGCCGCTGCTGCGGCATCGCGTTCCGCGATCGGGGGGCCCCCAAAACAGGCCCGCACCAAAGGTCTCTCCGGCGAAGGGTCACTCTTACGTGTCGCCGATCACACCTTTCGGAGAGCGGCGAGTTGAGACACTGGAACCTCAACGATCGGCTCACAATCGCTCCCCAGACCCCTTCTGGAGTCCAAGCGCACCTGTCCCCCGAGCTGCGTCCAGCCGTGGCGACGAGGGGCGCCCCCGAAGGCCAAGTGTCGGTGTCTCAGACGGCCCTCCGCTGAATCTGCGCGCCTTGACCCGACTGTATTGTGACTTCGTGCCCCCCAGCGGCCTTCCGCGAACGAGGCCTCGGCGGAGAGCGGGCGAGCGCGGGCGGGGTGGGGGCGGCGGCGCGAGGCTGGTGCGGCCACCTGCGCCCCCACGCTCAGCAGCAGCTCGACGGTGTCCGTGTGCCCGCCCTCCGCCGCCACGTAGAGCATCGTGACGCCCGTGTCGTCCGCGGAGATGACATCGGCGCCGGCCTGAAGAGGAGGAGGAGCAGGAGCAGGAGCAGGAGCAGGAGGAGGAGGAGGAGGAGGAGGAGGAGGAGGAGGAGGAGGGAGCAGGAGGAGGAGGAGGGAGGAGGAGAGGAGGAGAGGAGGAGGAGGAGGAGGAGGAGGAGGAGGAGGAGGAGGAGGAGGAGGAGGAGAGGAGGAGGAGGAGGAGAAGGAGGGAGGAGGAGGAGGGAGGAGGAGGATTAGGTTAGGCACGCCACAAAGGAGCAGCCACCCCAGGACAGGCACCGAAGCCCCTGCCTGACACAGCCGCCCCAGTGGTTCAATCTCGACAACATTCTGAGGAGGGAGGAGATCGGCGGCCGACGCCCGCACCCCGCCCCGCCACCTCAGCCGCGCGGCTCGATGGCCTTCCCCACGTTGGCGTCCAGGAGCGCGTCGAAAGCGTCGTGCCGCGCGACGGGCGGCCAGGCGTTCAACCACGGATCCCTGGGGGCCTTCCGAACAATGAGCTGGAGAGAGATGTCGACCTCGTTCTCGCGGCTCAGGGCGATGAACTCGTCGGACTTGCCGCGCGACTTCATCGAGGCCAAGCGCTCCAGGGTCCGCTGCACCTGCTGCTGGACCACCTCCGTGGGGGGGACGACCTCCTTCGCCTGTCCCTTGACCGCCGCACGGCCCACCGCGGCCGCTGCCGCGGGCTGCTGGCGCTCCCCAGCCGAGTCGACGGGCTGCAGGTCGCCTCGGCTGTCGACATGGGTCGCCATGCCGTCGGCGACGGGGCCCTCACGGGCCGCCACGGCGCTCCGAGCGCGCGGAGGAGCCTGCCGAGCCGCTGCCGCCGCCTGCGCGCCTGGGCCCCCGCCCAGCGTGCCAGCCGCCGCTGCGCCGCCGCCGCCGTTGTGCCGCTGCTCCTGCTTGCCACCGTCGGGGCCCGACCCGTCGGGCGGGGGCCCAGCACCGCGCCCCCCGCGCCCGCGAGGCCGCTGGCGCCTCGGGGAGGGCGCCGCGGCCGCGGGCGAGGGAGGCGGCACCGCCTTCGAGCCGAGCTCGACGATGGCTGCGCGAAGCAGCCCCTCAGCGGCGCGCAGCATGCGCACTCCCGCGCGGGAGTGGCACGCCGCGAGGCCGCTGGCAGCATGCGCCGCCAGGAGCGCCCCGCGCGCTGCCTCGGCAGCGGCGCGAGGCCCGGAGGGACCGGCCATCGCTGCCCTTCCTCAGCCTCCACCCGACGCCGAAACGTCAAGCGGGCAGGTCAGTGCGGGCGCGCGGCCTGCGTCGGGCGGGGCGGCGCGCGGCGGGGCCGCGGGGAGGCCTGCACCAGTAGCCGACTAGGAGGGAGGAGGAGGAGGAGAGGAGGAGGAGGAGGAGGAGGAGGAGGAGGAGGAGGAGGAGGAGGAGGAGGAGGAGGAGGAGGAGGAGGAGGAGGAGGAGGAGGAGGAGGAGGAGAGGATCGCCACTCTGCGTCTAGCCTGGAGGTGTTGCCCCCCCGCCTCCCCCCACGCGCGCAGCTGTCAGGATTCCTGTGTGGCGTATGGCAGATGAGGTGCCATCTTCATGGGAGAGGGTATCGGACGCCCATACTGGCGTGACTAGGGGCACAAAAAGTGGCATAAACATAAAAACTCTGAGGTCCGCGCGGATTTCTCGGATCGGCGCTGGACCACCCTCCCTGGCGCGCGGAGCGCGCCAGGGGCGGCGCGGGATGCGCCGCCGGGGGGCCCCAGCGCCGATCCGAGAAATCCGCGCGGACCTCAGAGTTTTTATGTTTATGCCACTTTTTGTTCCCCTAGTGACATCTATTCAGCACAACCCGCAGCCGGCGAATGTGGCTCGCAGTCGAGACATCTTCGAGGAAATGCGCACCGTTGCCATCATAATTCTTATTGCGACGCAACAGGGAACGGGTGAGACCCGGTCAGAATCACGGGTGCGCGAGAGACACTTGTCTATTGAATGCGGCTGAGGACGGGGACAACATGCCAATCGCAGTTGTGGGGCCAGCATTTGGAGAAACAGTGATTTGCTCCATGCAGGTACGTGGCTTTCTCGATATATCTTTGGCACTCCGAGGGCGTGTCGTGGAATAAGGCGAGAGAGAGAGAGAGAGAGACGGGGTCAAGCTTGCCGGTTTTGCTTTGTACTTCCCGCCGGTACCACGTCGAGCATAGGAGCGTCAGCTGTGGACTCGCACGATCGAGGCGATGATGAGGTAGATCACGCAAGCTTTTTCGGTGTTATGGCATGCTGATCGCCGATTCTGATGTTAGATGCCAGAGGTCAGTTTGACTCTCTTCGTGGTGTGACCGAGTGTTCGACACACGAGCTGTGCATACCACCACAGAGGATTTATGACCACCGTTTCAGGCACACAGCTTGTCGGTGGTGGATAGTGAGTTTCCAGCAGGTGATACGTACTTGTGACTCACGTCGGCGCCGAAGGTTCCCGATGACATAAGGATCCTGGGGGAGCGAGCAGATAATGCATTTTGGTGCGCGACATTCCAGGACCGTGTTTTGTGTCTCCAATCTCATCATAATTCTCGAATCTGGGACCATGTTCTGCTTGCTTGTCGTCTACCCCTTGCGTATGTGAAAGTCAGTACCGCCAAAGTGAGACTCCGAAACTACACGGCGAAGCGCTGTCCATGATGGTGCAGCGAGGATGGAAAAGGTCTTCTCTTGTGCAACAAACCGAACGAGATTTTAATGCCGAGTGGGAGCGAGAATGTGGCCTCAGTCCGTTGACAATGCTGGATGAAGCCACTGCTGTACACGTGAAGGCGAGGCGTTGAATTCGAGCGTACTACTTTATCCCAACCATCCTGTGTTGGCTCGCGCTTTGAAAGGACAAAGCCCCGCGACACTCACTCCTCCCCCTTCTTCCTCCCCCTCCTCCCTCCTCCCATCCGTGCCTCTGCCCTCCGCATGTTCATTAAGGCGCACCCCTCACACGTTGCGTGGCCCCGTAGGGTGCTCCCCACCGAAGGCCCCAGTGGCGGTGCTCACATGTGTCCCCCGCATCAATTTCAGCACACCTTTCACACGCTTCGTAGCCCCATAAGGAGCTCCGCCGAAAGCGCCAATGGCAATGTTCACATGCGTCCCCTGCGCACATGTCGGCACACCCCTCATACGTTCCGTGGCCCCAGTGGCAGTGCTCACATGCGTCCCCCGCCGCGCAGATTTCGGGACATCCCTCACACGTTTCGTGGCCGCATAGTGGGCTCCACCGAAGGCCCCAGTGGCAATGCTCACATGCACCCCCGGCACCGACTTCGGCACACCTCTCGTACGTTCCATGGCCACATAGCGAGCTCCACCGAAAGCACCAATAGCCATGCTCGCACGCGTCCCCCGCATCCATTTCGGCACGCCCCTCACACGTTTCGCGGCCCCAAAGGGAGCTCCACCGAAAACCCAAGTGACGGTTCTCGCACGCGTGCCCCGCACCCATTTCGGCACACCTTTCACATGTTTCGTGGGCCCATATGGAGCTTCACCGAAGATTTCAATTGCTGTTCTCGCATGCGTCCCCCGCCCAGTGGCGATGTTCACATGCGCCCCCCTGTCCGTTTTTTTGCACACCCCTCGCACGCTTCGTGGCTCCATAGGGAGCTCCACCGACGGCCCTGGTAGCAATGTTGGCATGTGTCCCCCGACCAATTTCGGCACACCTGCACACATTTCGTGGCCCCATAGGGGAGCACCACGGAAGATAATTGTCACAGCTTCGTTACTCACATCTGCACATGGTTGGGTCCTTCGTCGGGCTACTTTCTCTGAATCTTTTGTGTACAGAGGATCAGCGCCGACACAGTTCAGCGGTTTCAGAACTCCGGATGCAGAGTCGAGAGGTTGGAGGTCAGTTCAGTGTGCTTGCGTGCCACGAAAATGAAGTAGCTGAAGCACTTCGACTACTAGTCTCAGTATTCATGGGATAAGCCGCTGGATGGGGAGAAGGACGAAGGAGTATTGGGGTCAGGTGACAAGTGACAAGTGCTCTGCGTTTCAGGAGGCGGTGTAGCGAAACGATGATGGATCTATGATTCGCAAGATGGCCCGAATGGTAGCGCAAATCACGAGAGGAGGTAGGAAGAGAGCGTGCGTACTGACGGAGGGTACGGTGGAGGAGTGGAGCCGAAAGGTGGAACGGGCTGGGCCGGATAGAGGAGGTTCAGCGGTCTTGAAGCAAGAAGAGGATCTGAATAATGAACGGACAGCGCATTTTTGTGTCCAGAGATGATTTTGCCGGAGGGGCCGAAGGAGAATTGCAAACGAGCTGCTCGGGCCTTGCGGACGGCTCGCTTGTGGAACACATGTCCGCAGCGGAGCTGCAAGACCGAGCTATTTCGTGCACTTTTCCCTCAATGGCAGAATCCACACATGTGTGAGAAGCACCACAGAGTGGAATTCCGCGCAGAAGCGAGCCAATTGATGAACCCTACCTTCCGCTGGTTCATATCTTTCGTCCTGCGTCAGATTCGAATGTGCAGCCAACTTCCTCTTGACTGGCTGCAGGCGCGAGGGTAGGGAAGGCAAAAGAGAAGGACGGCACGGAGGGCGAGAAGATCGTCCATGAAAAACCTGTTCCCCAAGCAGTGCTTGCGCTTGGGGGTTGTTACTCCTTTTCTGAGGGGCTGGGCCGGCCCGTCGGTACGGCGGCTACTATGTGGTCGCCGTCGCCACCCCGCCACTCTGGGCCTGTCCGTCGGCCTGGCGGCTATGTGCTCGCAGTCGCCGCTTCGTCGCCGGGTGGGCCTGCGTTACTTTGCATTGCTTTGTGTTATTCGGCACTGCATGGCATTGATTTGCATCACTTTCCTTGCTGTGCTTTGCATGGCTTTGCATTGATTCGCATTGCTCTGCCTTTCTCTACATTGCTTCGCGTTGCATTGCTTTGTATTGCTGTGTGCTGCTTATCACTGCTGTTCATTGCTTTGCATAGCTTTGTGTTGCTTTGCGCTGCGCTTCATTTCGCTGCG